GTGGGTAAATCAGCTCTAACTGTTCAATTTGTTAGCAGTACTTTTATCGAAAAGTACGACCCTACTATAGAAGATTTTTACAGGAAGGAGATAGAGGTAAGTATATCACTCAATCAATAATCGATTACTTTTGGTTATTTTTTATTTCCTTCCTGATTTTTCCAATGTTTACTTATTAATTATTCGATTTTTTGGTTTTCTTAAGGTTGATGGTCAACCATGTGTACTAGAAATTCTCGATACTGCCGGAACAGAGCAGTTTTCATCTATGCGTGATTTGTACATCAAGAATGGACAGGTGAGTAATTGAAAGCTTGATGCTCTTGTCATTTTTCTAACGTTTATTATGTTGTGTGACGATCATACTTTTTGGACATCACCTTAGAAACCACCTACCTTAATGGGGGAAAGTAAAAGCGAACCTTTTTTTAGAAGATAGATTCGAAAACCTTTCCTCATCTGATCTCATATAACGATTCCTGATTGGGATGGCTTATGTTTTGAATTATCTAGTCCATATCACCCACTTAGATCCCAATCCCCTCAAATCTCTCGTAGTATTGGAAAGCATGACTGAGCAATTTATTCCGTTCTTTGCAAATTCGTGTTAAATCAAATCATTAGTATGGCACCTCTGCTTTTGTAGTAATACCGTCATCAGTATGAATAAATCAGCTCCGATGATGAGATGCCAATGATGTTGAATATATTAGTTCAATCCTACTTTTAACCAAGCCACGTGAAAGGCATGCTCATCAATAAATTCACTTCCGTCTCTGAAATGATGTGCATCTTAAGGAAACGTGATGCAGCACATAGCGAATGATTCGATTCATCCTCTGCCGTTTCTTAAATAAAAAGATTTCGCGATCCAGTGGACCGAATTCTATCGTGGCAAAGATGTGGGAGAGACTAAGCTTGATTTCTTTCTAACTTTAGGTGGAGGGGGGGAGGGGATGGCAGTTTATCTCGGCATAGTAATTCGATATAAAGCGGTTTTGTAAGTCAAGGTTGTATATGCGATCAACAGCAAAGGAGCTTTTGAGACTCCCACAAAATTGCTGGATTTTGAAATTTGTTTACTCTCATTATGGGGAGGAAGTTTACTGCCGCTAGTACAGGGGCGGAAAAGAAATAATGTTAACCCCAAATCATGATACACGTTCTATATTGCTGCACATATTTCACTTGGTTCGTTTGAATCTTCATTTCAAAAGTTCCATTTCATTACACGAATTATGTCGACGGAACAAGATTTTATTCCTTTGCAGGGTTTTGTGGTTGTATATTCCATTACGAGTCAACAAACTTTCCACGATATCAAGACGATGCGGGAGCAAATCGTACGGGTCAAAGTATGTTCTTTGCCTTGTTGAAAGTTTGGCTACATTTACTTATGGTTTCAAAGTCGGTTTTCAGGGAACAGAACAAGTACCCATCCTCCTCGTTGGGAATAAATGCGATCTACAACATCAACGGCAAGTAAGGACAGACGAAGGAATTGCGCTTGGTGGGTTTTATCAGTTTCTTTATTGATTTCACAAAAGCTTTGTGGGGGTTTGATGCCGTCTCAACGGAACAACGAAACAAGCTTTTTCTTCTTATTGCTGTCTTCCCAGTATTTTAGGAAGAAGTCCAAGTTTTTAATTTGGTATGTGTGCACAAGCTCAGAAATCTTCCTTTTTTCCATTTTTCTCTCTTGAAGTTCCTTCATTATTAATTCCTTTTCACGCTGCTAAATTAGTATTTCTTTGTCACTTGAAGCCTTTTATTTCTAACGGTACCACCGAATGAATGTTGCTTTATTGTAGCTTGAGACTGGAAAGTATTTCTTTACTATTCCTTCTAATCCCACTCTGTAGATCTGAATTTCTCGTGAGTTTAACCACACTATAACATACTTCTTTTTTATTACCACAAGTAGTGACGTCTTCTGGCTATTTCTATTCACCAAATATCCTCTCTAATAGTACCGCGGACCGCTTATTGTAATAACACACTTCATTCCTCATGAGGAGGAGAAGCTGTGTTCATTTACGTTTATTACATTATATTCTAGTACTCTACTTTGCATGTGAGTATTGATTCGTTAATTTCACACATTAGTGTCAGAAGTTTGCTCAGGTAAGCCATCTTGTCAACTTCTCTCCTCAGCTATTTCTCATATCCCTTCAAAATCAGCATAGTCTAAGCATTTTTTTCGCTATTTTTGAGGCTTTTGAACTTTGTCATTTTCTCTTATCTGTAATGAGTAGTTGTTCAGCTGTTTTGACTTTGTGGGATAGTTGAAAGCAGATCGTGAGTGAAACCCGTTACTTGGGTTAATTTTACAACTGTTATAGGATTTTTGATAATGCATTTGTACTTTCAGCTGAGTACTGGTCATGTCCTTTTACGGAATGTTCCGCAAAGAATAATCACAATGTGAATGTGACCTTCGCCGAAATCGTCCGCGAGATGAACTATGTACAAAATAAGGCTCGAGAAAATAAAGGTTGTTGCTCGATCATGTGAAATCATGACAACTTCTGCTTATATTGCTTTCATGTAGATACTTTTTTTCTCATAAACCCTGAAAAGGAGTTTTTCTGATGTGCACTGAATACATTCTCTCCCTGAATGTTCAGATTTTTAAGCTTACAACACATAGATATATGTTGCATTTGAGAGGTCTGGTGCACTATAGAGCTTCGAAGGCCTCGTAACGGTGTTTACGATATTTTGTTTTGTTATTTCCCTTATAATTGTATTTGGTCATTTGAAAACGTTTACAATGCCATCTATCTCCTTCAATAAGTTATGGTGCCAGTTTTAGATGAATCATTCAATTTCTACTCTCCTTGGTCTCTGCCTTGTTGATATGTTGCCTATAATCAGTCCACTAAAACCCGTTGATGCTCCTAATATACCGTGTCAATAAGATTCTTATTATTTTCTCTGATATATTTGAAATGTGTGTAGTTTTTAGTTGTCGGCTATCTGTTCAACAGTACTCATAGCCATTTTACGAGTGATGAGAAGAGCTGATAGAGATGCCATCTGCTCATCACGACGTTCAGGCTTATGTCTCCGGGTTGTTCACATCATTGCTAAGTGTTATCCTTGAAACCATTGCTATGATGAATTCACTTTGTCGTTGTTTTGCCTATGCTTTCTATGTCCTTAGGAATGCACGTGAATGCATAATAAAAGATTTAATTAAATGGTTTTTTTTTATTTTTGAATAATTGTACTCAATAATGGGAATGGAGCGGGAATCGTCTACGGGAGCTATCCGCAGGTTCTGGAAATCTTTGACATATAACCTTCCATTCGAAATTGAATGGAAACTCTGATTGTTTGGGTATTCCACCATCCAAGTACAAAGGAAAAAACATTTTCTTAAGATTTGCGGAGCTGGAAAGGGGTCCGTCCCGTCCTCATTGCGATCAACTGAAATAGGATCTACTTGTGAAGAGGGCAACACCACCCATAATGGGTTCACATACTTGAGGACGAGTTCCGAACTCCCACTTCTCTTAATGGAGCAGCTGTGCACACCTTCCCGTCAAAAGCTCATTGGAGAAACTGATTGTATGTCTAATTCCTACTTTAAGTAGTCGTGCTTACCGATCGAATCAAAAAAAGTAGCGGAATAGGACGTCTTTATCGAAAAGTACCAACCTAAATCAAGGGGGTAATGAAAGACTTAAGTCTGGAAACTTGGAAAAATATTGTCAAATTTAAAATTACGACGTCTACATCTCGACAAAGTTTTTGTACTATTTCCAAAGAACTTGCCTCCCAGAAAACTCAAATATAGAAGACTTTTCAACAAACTCTTTGCCCCAATCGAGTTGTCATGAGAAAAAATGCTCTATTACTACGACCGTGACGCAGCCGCCTGCGTTGTAGGATTTAAGTCATCTAGTTAGCACTGCGCTGCGTCTCTAACACAGTTAGACAACAAACATTTCCTAGTGCTCGAAGTTTCTCGTAAAAAGTGCTTTCTTCTGGAATGAGGTTGCCTCAACCGTCACATTTTTCTTATTTTCAATAATCTGCTACGGTTCTTGCCCCTTCATCATCCTTTTTGACCAAATCTGTTCTTGGGTTCATGTGGAACTCCCAATGAGAGTTTTGTAGGATGATGGGTTTTCGTAACTCCTCTTTTCATATTTACCTTAAATGACTGCGTATTTTTCCTAGTACCTTAAACACTCGTCCTTAAAGGTAGCCGTTTGTTTTTCAACGCTATAGACCAGTGCTTGAGTAATTTATGGTCACGTCATAACCCACTCGATGTTTCTTTTTTCATATAAAAAGCTGATTTAATTTTTTTTTCAAACGTGCCCCTTAGTTATCAATCTAATACACTGGCATTGTATCAGCAGCTTGTCGTCTTTCTTAAAGTCGAAACTGTGTTATTGCGGCCGTGTATCCGGTTTGGTGCTTCAACATTTTCCAGAAAATATCTAAAGCCTAATTATTATAGGTTCGCTTATATTCATAGCGATCGTCAATGACTGCTGAGGAGGTAGGTAATTAATAATTTTTTATTGTAGAAAAACATTTGATTTTTAAACATCGCGCTGTTTTAAAAGATCGATTTAGTTCTACGTAGGTTGTTGTAGTTGTAAGGATCATAATTGTTATACAATGTAATGTGTGTCACAGTCCAGCTCATGGCAAAGGTGATCCATCTAGAATGCCGTTGCTTAACAGCTGGAAAACTTCTAAAAACAGGTTGTCTGAGGGGTGTTATTCATGTAACTTGAAACTTGGATCCCAAGTCATACCAATACTCTCAATGATCCGTAGCAGCATGTTTGTTTGAAGAGTAATTCTGATCGTAAGCACCATTTGTTATACTTCAGGTGCTGGTACTTACTGCCTTCCCCTGCTCCCCCTAGAAAATCATTTCAATATTTAAGCGTCTACCGAAACAGGATTCTTCAAAGTACAAAGTTTGTGTTTTCAGATTGCTCTTGACTTAGAAGAACTGCGTTCTCTGCGTAATCTGGCGAAAAGGCCTAGGATTCAAGAATGGATTGATAGCAAGATCAGTACACTTGTAGCTGAACAACCCGTAAGTTAATCATTAATCGAATTCATATCAAGGCAAAAATTGACCGAATCCATTAATAAGAGGTTCAAGTTTAAAGTCATACCTTTCGTTCTCGGTTTGAACTGAAGCTAATTTTATCGAATCCCTCATATTGTGTAAGGACCGGTACCAATAGCTTAGCCTTTTTGATATCTTGAAACAGAGCACGCAGTCCGTAGCAAGCTGCTGTGATCAGGTCTGCTGGGAATTTTTAAAAGTTGATCTTTTAAATCGAAGGGATTGGCCATGATTCACCGTTTGTTGATACGATTTGCTTTTAGGCTAAAATTCCCGAAACTACTAGTTCTACAGTTTCTGTCAACAAAGAGAAACCATCAACCCCTTCAAGTCTCCCAACGGTGAAGGTCACTAATTATGGTAAGTTTT